ATTGGAGTGGTGTTAAAGATTAACAGAGAGGTTCAGGGACTTGGGGCCTATGATATCTGTGTTATATACGACACAAGACTTGAAACCAAAGTCCACTCCAAGTCATCTGGCTTGATACAGTTTGTGCCCACCTGATCTTTTATTGTGCCCAAACAGTAACTGAAGGAAGTATGCATGTAGCCACCCACTCCAGGCAACTTTGATTTCCTCTGCCCCAACGGTCCATTTAAACCGCTGCCGACTGCAAATTTCCACTTAAGATTTGAAATATTCACCATCCAGACGCCAATCTCTAGGAGATCTCAAGCTTGTCTGGAATTTTTGTTTTTATATATAATAATTTTTATTAAGTTTTCAATTGTACCTTTCAAAATAAATATTTTACAAACTTTAAAATATCGAATGACTTCCCTTCTTATCCTTCCATGTTTCATTTTACATGTCATACATTCCTGCACATTTTACTATAACCATTCAAATCAGTTTTCCACTTTTACATCAATCAAATATTATTTACGCCATTGAATTTATCTTAACACTGCCAGCGTTTTCAGCTGTATACAGTAATTTTCCATATATTCAATAAATGCTTTCCACTCTTCTTTAAATATATGTTCTTCTTGCTCTCTTATTCTATGTGTTAAATCTGCAAGTTCTGCAGATTCTGTCAATTTAAGTTGCCAGTCCTCTTTAGTTGGGACCTCGCTCACTTTCAATTTTGAGGCTAACAAAACACAGGCCGCAGTTGTTGCATACATAAATAACTTTTTCTGACACCTAGCAATTTCTGTCTAGGTTATTCCCAATAAAAATGACTCTTGGCGGGATGGGGGGAGTAATTTTAAGCATTTTTTTCTAATTCATAATAGATCATTTCCCAATACAGTGGTACCTTGGTTCTCAAACGCCTTGGTTCTCAAATGCAGAAAACCCGGAAGTAAATGTACCGGTTTTTGAAAGGTGAACGTCCGATGCGGCTGTTGGCTATTGTTTCTGGGGCGCCTGCACCAATCAGAAGCTGCGCTTTGGTTTTCGAACATTTTGGAAATCAAACTGACTTCCAGAATGAATTAAGTTTGGCTCTTTTGTTTTTGTTATTTATTTTGCATTTTTGTTTTTGAGGCTTTTTTTGGTTAATTTGTTTTTGTGACTGTGTGGAACCCAGTTCAGCTACTGATTGATCGATTGTGTGACTGCAGAAATAGATAAAAGCTCCCCATCCAAACAATGACTATCATCAGTGCAGGTAAGAATTTTTTTTTTTAATCATCTACAATACTGTCTTATTTATTTTATAGCACAGTACATTGATTATTGCTTTCATTTTATGGATCAATGGTCTCGTTAGATAGTAAAATTCATGTTAAATTGCTATTTTAGTGGGGTTACTTTTCAAAGTCTGGAACGAATTAATTCATTCTGCATTACTTTCTATGGGAAAGCTTGCCTTGGTTTTGGAATGCTTTAGTTTTGGAACGGACTTCCGGAACAGATTAAGTTTGAGAACCAAGGTACCACTGTATACTTTTACCTTTTTACATTTCCACCCTTACCTGGAAATTTTGTGCCTTCTGACCTGGAAGCTCTTCCTTCTAGTCTCAGATGTTAGTCAATCACACAACCCAAAAGCACTTTGCACATGTCCAGAAAGAATTTGCATATTTATTCATTTCTTGCCTGCAACAACTGTTCTGAGCTTAAGTAACTAGGCATGAAAAATCCAGCCAGAAAAAATATCTCACTGCTAAAATTAATACACTCCTGATTTTTAAAAAACAGTGAGTAGAAAGTCTGGCTCTCCTCAACAAAAAAAGGAGAATTATTCCCAGTATCCTGGAGGATACTTTCATTAGGGAGCTGGTGTAGTGTGCTATAGTCCAACTACTTCTGTTTACCAAAGGCAGTCCTTATTTCCTACTGCCTTGGAGACACTTCTAAGGGCCTTTAAGCTAAGTATGCTAAAAGCATGAAGTGGGAGACTGAGGCCTCTCATCTCCCAAGTCCTGTGCATGTGCCAGAGACTTTGGGGCAAAGGGACCACAAGTAGCAAACACAAATAATGGCTGGATACCAAGAATGCATACTCTTCAGCTGAATGTCAAAATTGTTACACAACACAACACACACACACACGAACATGCACTGACAATACTTAACTTTTTGTTACCTTACAGACAAGTAAGGAAGATGGTAGCATTTTAATGCATGGCTCATGTACAGACCATATATATATATATATATATATATATATATATATATATATATGAGCTTTGCACAGAAAGAACACATAAATTTTTTTTTAACTATTTCTCTTTAATTTTCAACACCAGAGTTTCACATCAGTGAATATAATTCTAGGTTTGATTTTCCAAACACTGAAGATAAACCCTACACACACAGATAGCTATTTCTTTTTTAATGCATTCTCATCAAAATTTGTGGTGTGTATCTGGCAATGGCTTGACGTGAACAAACAAATGTACGGGCGCCCAAAGTAAAAAATGTGGGGGCTTTACTCCTCCTTCAATCCGACTGCTGCCACACTACCTAGACTTAAGCCATGGTTTAGCACAGCATTCCACCAGTCTGGGAAGACAAACCATGAACCCATGTTCACACTTAATGCTAAACCAAACCACGGCTTAGCTCTGCATAGTGCAGCAGAAATAAGGCTGAGGAAGAAGCAAAGTGGCCATGATTTTTCTCTGAGTACCCACATGCTTGCTTGTTCACAGTTAGCCATGGTTTGCCTTAGCATTACGTGCAAACTGTGCCAATGTCCCAATGCCACTTCAAATCTATCTCTCCAATATCCATCACCTGAGGGCTGCAGCATCCAGCAATGACTACAGTCCATGTGTGGATGAACCATCATGGATCTAATGCAATGGAAAGAACTTGGCTATTACTTTGCATCACCTCAAACGCAATGCTTTGCAATGGAGCCAGTTCACACGTTCAGCTGCCAGTGGTGATGTACATGCAAGTGTGAACAAGCCTGAGTTCAAATGCCTGCTCAGAAATTGACTCCTTCTCTCAACCTTGTTTCTTCATGTGCAAAACAAGGATAAAACAGCCTTGCAACTCAGATCATAAAGATTACAAGTCCACATTTCAAATTAGTTCTATTATTAGTCATCAGTGGTCTGAAGGGGGGGGAGGCTTCTCTCTCTCATCTCTACAAACACATTCTTTTCTGATCACTTAGAATTGTTTCTTACTCACCACAGGTGACTTGTCAAGCAGTTATTTACAAGCCTGCAGTAAAAGTCAACCTCTCTCACGAGGCAGGACAGATGTGAGAATAATCGCTGTACTGTAATACATTTTGTACTTAAAAAAACACAAAAACCTAATTACAGAGAAATTAATCATTACAAAATATTTAGAAGTTATATAGCACTTTTTGCCAAAGGGTTCAAAACCCTACATACTGTCTCCTCATTCACTAACCTTACAACAACACAGCAAAGGAGACCAGAGATTATTGTCCCTATTCCCATAGAAGTGGGGGCTGAAGCTAAGAGTTGCTTGATGCGAGTCAATGATTCCAGGATCGAACAGACCTGGCACTTTCTAGCTGCGAGCTCAGCCTCTTAAAACTCCACTAGCTCCAGTACTAAGCTCTGGAGAAGCCACCCACCTTCTTTACCCATTCCTAGATGTCTTTTCTCTTTGACCCCAGACCTTCTCCCCAAACCCCTACCATAAAACTAGCTGTGAGCCATCCAAAGTGGCTGGGGAAACCCAGCCAGATGGACAGGGTATAAATAATAAAGTTGTTGTTGTTGTTGTTGTTATAACTTTCACTGGAAACTTCACCTTGTGGCAGAAGCTCTTTTGCATCCACTTTCACCTTTAAGCCCCCCCCCCCCAAAGTTTGATCTTGCCACATGTCTCCACTGAACTCCTCTGGCAACCCCAGGAGCAGGCAACCCTTCAACATCATAACCCCAGTCACAAGTACCCCTTACACCAGGGATCTGGAGCCCTTTAGGGAATGTTGAACTCCTCCTCCCATCAGCCCCAGCTGGCACGGTCCATGGTCAGGGATGATGGGAGTTGTGGTCCATCAACATGTTGAGGGCCACAGGCTCTCCACCTCTGCCCCAACGCAAATGCTCCATCGGCAGCATTCCTGCCAGCAGAGAGTGCACTCAGCACTCTGTCTGCTCTTCCTATGTTTGCCATCATCCCTTAGACAGGTGCAATCACCAGACTGAAGGAGAGGGAAGCCCTCCCCCCTTAACTTTGTTACTGCCCTCCCCGCTCCTTCACTGCCCCACCCCCCATAAAAATTCTTCCTCCATACTGGGCCTATTTCTCCAGATCAAAGATCCCAAAAGGAGATGATACCAGCTGATTATGATGGAAAGGTGAGAGAGTCTGATCATTCCGAGACCATATCCTGCTACCTGATTCTGTTCCCTAAAAATGAGGCCCTGCAGACCCTCTCAAACACAGGGTAACATATTTGCTTGGAAATCGCACCTGGAAGCTTGGTGCTTAGTTTGGATTCTGGAGAAGCGGGAGGGAGACAGGATTCAGTTACTGAGGAAAGGGCACTTTGCACATGCTCAGAGACACACTTCAGTATTATGCCACATGTTCTGGGACTGATTCACAATATCATAGAATTTTAGAGTTGGAAGTGACCCTGAGGATCATCTAGTCCAACCCCCTGCAATGCAGGAATATGCAGCAGTCCCAATACAGGGATCAAACCTACAACCTTGGCGTTATCAGCACCATGCTCTAACCAACTGAGCTATGCAGGCCAGATAAATTGGTTCCAACTTCCAGGGCCCAAGTAAAGGCATGTCCACCTGCCCCTACCCTTGCCAGTCCCTACATCGACCTGTATTCTGTGCAAAAATGTCAGCTACTGCTGCTGCCTTTCCCTTTGGCACTATCAGCCCCTGATATTAGAGCTGTGAATTTTCCTTTCCTTAGCTTGGCACCTCCCACTCTCATTCCAGGGTCCCAGACTCGTCCCCTACCTGCACCGCAGCCATGCCCATGGGGGGCTGTCGGGTCGCCTCCCAGCCTCTCCAGAAGCCTCCCCAGCAGTCGATCGGGGCTCTCCGGTTCTGCCAGCGGCGCCCAGCAGCAGGTGGGTACAGACTCTGGGCTGAGCTGGGTTTCGCCTCCTCCGCCACCGCCTGGGGACAGCTCCTCGGAGGAGAAGGACGTTGGGGAGCGCAGAGAGGAATCGGGGGGCCGCAGCTCCAGCCATCGCCCATCGCCAGCAGTGTCCGTGCCTCCTTCGGGGGGCTCCTCGGGGGGCTCCTTGAGGAATCCGGGCAGCAGGATCTTGGAGACGCTTTGCCTGCGAGGCAGCTGCCCACCAGCCCCGGGGCCAGCCCGGGCAGCCAAGTGAGACCCCTGCTTCTTCAGAAATTTCTCCAAAGGCTTCATCCCGCCGACGGCAGTGGGGGCACCCAGGGGCTCAGCTGGGCCCCAGGACGAGGGGTGATCCAATGTGCCCTTTTCAGCTTAGGCCAAAATTGGGGATCAGGGGCGGCGCACTCTGCGTGCCTGCGGCGGGGTGGAGAGACGTGCGATCAGAGAGTCATGGCTATGCCAGATGTTGGAGGCGGGCGAAGATCTGGCCAAGAAGGTGGCAGGGAGCTGCCTCTTTGGAGAAGGGAAGCGTGCCCGGCGTTGGGGGGGTGGGGAGCGTGGGCGCTGCTCTGGCCAACCTTACCGAGATTGGAAAGGCTTTAGGGGGCGGGGTGCGCGGGGTCCTGCTCGACTCTCCCTGCAGGGGGAGTGACCAGAGGCGCCTCCGGTGGCTTCGCGTCCTGACGCCCTCCTGAAGTGGTAGGCGGTGAGAGGCAGACAGGTGGATTGCCGTCTAGTTCAGTCTTCTCTTCGGCTGCGCCAGAAACGTGGCGAGCGTAAATCCCCTTTGGAGCGGGGGTGGGGGAGAGATTCTTCCCTCTCCACCTCTGCGCCCAGCAAAGCGAGGCGCGTGCCCTCGGCCCCCGCAGGGCTTTCCCGAAGCCGACGAAGCGTCCCGGCTTGCTTGCAATCTGAATCTCTCCTGTTCCTCCGCCAGCCCGCAGCCTCTGCCTCGTCTCCTTTGCCACTCCGTGCGCCCTGCGCGCGCGCGCCCTATTCGCCAGGCTGCTGCTGCCGCTGCAAGCGGGATCCTCCTTTATGGATGCTCATGACAGCGGGGGAGGCAGCTACTGGCAGCAGGAGCGGGGGCTGAAGCCTGCCTGCCTGCCGGGGAGTTTGCATGGGGGAGGCTCTCTGCTTGACCGCCCCCACCCCCTCCTGCAGGAACCCCCCTCCTCCTTCTTCGTGCCTCCTGGCCTGGAAAGAAGCAGGCGGAGTCGCCAGTCGGCAGGCTTCTCTCGCAAAGCAGCAGCCAGCCAGTCTCTTTCCCTCGCCGCCTCTCCTCCGGAGGGGAGCAAGCCCAGCCCCGCCCCGCCTCCTCCGGCCCCTCCCCCGCCTTTGCACCGGTTCCTCGCCCACCCGCTAATTTTGCCTGCACTTGTTACGCGGGGGCAAGGAAGCCAAAAACCCACACCTTAATCTTGGACTATAACTGGGGGGTGGGGGAACCCAACTAAAAACAACAAGCGTGATGGTGAGAAATCAGGCTGGTTGGGCAATGTTGCAAGATTAATCGGGGCTTTATTTGCATCTTGATGCAAAACATTGCCCTCAGCTTGCTTGGAGTGAAAGTCAGATGATTCATTTTGGGTCGTTGACGCCGGCTGAATTGTTAAAGATTTTTATTCTATTGCACACTCAATTTCATATTACTTAGAGAGAGAGAGAGAGAGAGAGAGAGAGAGTGTGTGTGTGTGTGTGTGTGTGTGTGTGTGTGTGTGTTTAATGGGTTCAAGTGGAAACTGCACGCACAGACACAAACAAAGTATAAACTTTTGAATTCCGGGATGCTTTTTAAAGGGTGGGAGAGGGAAATCTTATATCTTCAAGAAAACTTCAGGCACTTCTTGCCGACCATAATGGCTCATGGCACAAGAAATGTATGTAGTCTTTAAGGCAGGCATAGGCAAACTCTGGTCCTCTAGATGTTTGGGACTACAATTACCATCATCCCTAGCTAACAGGACCAGTGGTCATGGATGATGGGAATTTTAGTCCCAAACATCTGGAGGGCCGGAGTTTGCCTATGCCTGCTTTAAGGACTCACAAGTCTCTTGGTTATTTCTGATACATTCAGACTCTTTTCTTTGCCCTGGTGGATAAATATTGGTTACACTAAATAATTTCACAGCAGTGGTTTCTTCTTCTTTTTTAAAGAGTTTTTTAAATCACCTTTATTCAACAGTGTGTGTGACCCTGAATGTCCGCCTTTTTCCTACTTGGGTATATACGCATCTGAATGTCACTACAGCTGGCATCCCCCATTACTACACACACACACACCCTGTTCAATTTATTTATGTCTATATTTTAAGGGCTCCTTTCTGAATACGTAAGAGAAAGGGCACCCTTCAGGGAGGAAGGGCAAGAGATAAATTGAATTCATCAATACACAAATGAATACACATATGAAGCTCAGCTGCCTTATAGGAAGGAATATGGGAAGGTGCCATGCAATCCCACCACTGGTCCACCTAGCTCTCTGCTGTCTACACTGGCTGGCAGTGGCTCTCCAAGGTTTCAGGCAGTAGCTCTACCCTGGAGATGCTGGGGATTGAACCTTTTGCATGCAAAGCAGATGCTCTAGCACTGAGCTACGTGCCCTTTCTCATTGGTCTATCTATTCTAGCCCAGTGTTGTCTACTCTCTGGCACTGACATCATCTCTCCATGGTGTCAGGCACCATGTGCAGATCTTGTACAGCCCTGCTGCCAGCAGCAATCCTTTTAGTGAAAGATGCTGAGAACTGAACCAGAGATAATGTGTGCACAAAATGTGTGATCTGCCACTGGATAATATCTAAACAGGTGGACTCAACAAGGAGCCCTCCTTTCCTTTAAAAAATGCTTAGCATGGACTGGTGCTCCCACCAAATGTCAACACTGGACTCCTGAGTTTGTTGTTAATAGATGTTATCTTGTATGGGTTTTTGGGGCGGAATACATCTAAAGTACGTAATTTGCTTTCAAATGCTTAGCATGCAGTACAAGTTAAGTCATATTGTCACAAAGCAAAAAGAAAACCACATTAATAATAAGCTCCACATATAAAATAATAACAATGCTGTTGAATTCTGTTCTAATCTGTTAAAGTGGTTCTGGTGTCTTTTTTTAAAGGTTTTAATTGGTAATAATTGCAGGTTGCTTTACGGAAGGTTTTCTCCACCCCCGATTTGAATGTTACAATTTTAACTGCATATTATTTTTGAAATAATGTAAGGACCCTGCGGGACCAAAAGGTAGGATATTATTTATTTATTGTATGTTATTTCAGTTCTAGACTGCCCTTCTCCCTGTGGGAGCCGAGGGCAGTGAACAACGGAGGAAATGCAAGCTGTACAATAATTACAACATAGAAAAACGCACCTCTAAAACCAAAACGTATGCAAAAAAAAAGAACACCAGTTGCTGAAATGCCAATCAATATTCATGCTTCAAAAGCCCAAGCAAACAGATATGTCTTCTTCAATTGGCACCTGAAGGCCATCAGTGTTGGGCATGGATGCACTCCTGGGGAGGGAGTGCCATGAAAAGCCCACTATGAGTTGCTGCCCCACGGGCCATACTCAATCAGACCATCCCACAGATCTCAAAACACAGGCCAGTAGATATTAGATGGAGGTGTTCCTTTAAGTACTGGGGCCCTGAGCTGCTCAGGCCTTTGTACAACAGGACCAGAACCATGAATTGGGCCTGGAGCTCACAGGCAACCAGTGCAGTGTTTTCAGGATTGCTGACATGCTTCATCCTGCTGCTCTGCTTAACAGACCCATTCTGCATCAGCTGCAGCTTCCGTACAGTCTTCAAGGGAAGCCCCATATAAAATATATTACAGTTACTAGAGCATGGACTACCATAGCTAAGCTATCCCAGTCCACGAATGGCCATAGCTGATGAACCAGCCAGAGCTCATCATAGGACTCCAGTGAAGCCACCTGGGCCTCAGGTGAGCTTTAGATCACTCCTGAGCTACACACCTGCTCCTTCAGGGGAAGTACAACCCCATCCAGAACAGGTTGTCTCTCTAAATTCCTGAGCATGAGAAAGGCCTCACCACAGCACCATCGTCTTATCAGGAGTCTGCCTCAATCCGTCACTGGAAACACAGGCAGGCTTTCCTGATGCAGAGGGAACAGAGTAAAAAAGCTGAATTTCATCCACATGCTGATGACACTGCGCTCCAAAACCCTGGATGGCAGCTCCCAACAGCTTCCTCTTAAATGGAATAAATACGATGGTTATACACGTACATGCACAAACACCAGTGAACAGAGCACGGAAGTTGCGTAATTATTCCTCAAAGCCTGATGGAAGGCCTATGTTTTCAGCAGTCTTCTAAAGCTTAGGATGGTGTTGCACAGAGGGCTTTGCAAGGCAGAACAGTCCACAACTGTGGGACCACCACCAAAGGAGGGGCACCACTTCAGAAAGGCACAGTGGAGTGGGGCTTTTTTGGAGAGGAGATACTCGTCAAAGTCTAAAGGCTTTCACCAAGATATATTCAAATTTAAATTGCAAAAAAAGTATGTTTGCGTGTGTGTAGTATGAGTATTTATTTTCCTTTACACCTTAACGCTTGTGAGGTTACCTTCACAAATGAAACTGGCAAGAGATCTGTGCCTTTGGCATCCATACCCAATTCACCTGCTGCTTCCTAGGGATGGGTCGGTCCTGTCCCCTGCGCCCCACCGCCATGGCTGAATAACAGCTTCCAGAAGGGTTGCTGTGACTCTGTGGCAGCAAAAGGCAACAAAGAGTATTTTCACATGCATTAAAGTGTCTATGAGAGTTTATGCCTTAATAAATGTATTAAAGGTGCCACAAGACTCTTTGTTGTTTTTATTGCTAATACTGTTAGTTAAAGGTAAAGGGATCCCTGACCATTAGGTCCAGTCGTGACCGACTCTGGGGTTGCGGCGCTCATCTCGCTTTATTGGCCGAGGGAGCCAGCGTACAGCTTCTGGGTCATGTGGCCAGCATGACCAAGCCACTTCTGGCGAACCAGAGCAGTGCACGGAAACGCCGTTAACCTTCCCACTGGAGCGGTACCTATTTATCTACTTGCACTTTAACGTGCTTTCGAACTGCTAGGTTGGCAGGAGCAGGGACCGAGCAACGGGGGCTCACCCCGTCACGGGGATTCGAACCACCAACCTTCTGTTCAGCAAGTCCTAGGCTCTGTGGTTTAACCCACAGCGCCACCCGCGTCCCATACTGTTACTGATACTGTTTTATCCAATATAGTTTGATTTTTAACTGGATATTTTCTGTGCCTGTTTTCAACATACCTGACTACTCAGGGGCAAGATGAATAAATGCTATTTGGGGGGGGGGACTGTTCAGTGACATAGATACATCTTAAGATGTTCAAACTAGTATTTCAATTGGAGGCATAATACCTGACATTTTTATCTGCCCTACTTAGGGCAGCCTTGATAAAGGCCTGCTTATCATTATTCTATTAAAACATTTTAATTAGAACATGTTCCCTTCTGGAAAGTGTTTGTGCCCTCATATAGCAGGAGCCACAGAGGAATCTGCACATCAAATTTGTTAAATTGGTTTTAACACATTTAACAAATATGTGAATAATGCTGCATTCCTAACCCTTCTTACCTATGAGGAAGCACTATTGAATTCAATTACTTCGGAATTGCTGCCAGCCAGTGTGGAAAATACTGAACTAGGTGAACCAGTAGGTCCAACTCAGTACTGTATAAATCAGCTTTCTGAGTTCCTTTTTACTGCATTTTCCTTCCAAAAGCTCATAGCAAGAGCAGTTGCTTACACAGAGCCAGGGCCTCAGAGGTTAGGAGAGTACAAATTTTGCACTAAGCTCAGAAAAATGGTCCTGAGGTCGTGACCTGGTTGTGGGTCATGAGCCACTAGCAGACAAACAACAGCCAAGGGTACAGTGAGTTCTCTACTGTTTGCCTTTGTTATGAAGCAATACTTAAATGGCCACAGACATCACCATGGACCAGTCTGAGAAGCCTGGAGCTATTTCTTTGCATTAAGCTGTTCACATGGGTTAGGTTCCCAAAGAAAAAGAAAGGAAAAGAAGAGGTGTGGGGATTGGGAGAAATCAAACATTAGAAGCTGGTGATCTCTGAGGAGTAGGTCCTTCCTTCCTTGCAATATAAAAGTGCACTCAGTTAAAAGGAGTGGCAGCAAAATAACCAGCCAGATGAACCTGAGGAACTGCCTGCAACAGGATGTGGGGAAAACCATGAATGCATTGTGGTTTAAAGAGAGATAGGGCATCCCTAATGGTGATAAGA